AAAGCTCAACTCATTAGGTGCGAAGTAGTTGATCTTAAATTTGAATAATTCGAAAAAAATCGATTCATTAACAACTCTAGTCTGGATTGAAGACAGTGTTAAAGTAATTTCTCACACAGGATTGATATAAAACAATAAATCATTATATAAAAAGATTCTCACTACACTCTCCTGTGATGTTAACCTTTTTAAATGAAAAAACAAACCTCAACAATATCTTCAACATCTCATTGGAGCTACCATTACCATTGTTGGTGATGTCACACATATCATGTTACCGTGACGAAGACATGCAGTAGATTGTGTTTAGCTATCTCTTTCTAATAGATTTTCTGAAAAACTTTGTGCAATATTTTCTCAAGAGTGGTGGTTTCTCATGAACTATGACGGTTACTTTTTTGAAAAACATATGAAAAGATGTAGCACATGCACATGTGTGTGAATGTCCGATGAAGAAAAAGTTTGAATAAAAAACTTACACATTTGGAGCACTTTGTCTAGACATGATTCAAAAGTCATACTTTTGTTATTATTTTTTCTATATTATTTTTTGTTAATAAATATTTGAAATGGAACCACAGCCTCAATGACATGTAAACAATTCTACCACTACAAAAAAACACGGGATTGTCAGGGATTTTTGCAGAGATTTTCCAAAATTGGCAGAGAATTTGGCAGGGATATGCCAAATCCGTGCCAAAAAATAGTTTGGCACAACAAGCTATTTGACATGAAATTATCAATAAATCCGTGCCAAATATGTGTCAATCCCGTCTTTTTTTGTAGTGTACATATTGTGTCCAATGTTTCAAAGATACAAGTAACAAGACCAGGCGAAACTGGGTAAGCCAATGCGGTCCACAATTTGGCAGCCGTAAGGCCCACAACTAATTTCTGTTATCACATAAAAGAAAGATTAGGTGTTGGACCTTAAGATGGGAAATGGTCCAACAATGAGCAAAAAGAAGAAAACGGCTCGCCTCCTTTGAAGCCACTGTCCTTCATCCCCCATTCATGCCTAAATCATGGTCCATAGCTTCTCCAACTAACGTATATTACATGTGAAGGTAATAGCTATATATAGTCTACACAAAACAAAGTAAGTTCCAAAAATCTATTGGGGCTAACTAGGCTCCATCTGGCCTTTGCAAATGTGTATGCATTAATATACTACATCTTTCTTAAATAGGTGCAATATATTCACTTTTACACTATTTACATATTATAATTTGACTATATTTTATTGATTAATGTAATAAAAAATTAAATTTTTATCATTCTAAATTTTCAAAATCTATATTTGTAATGTTTTTACTAATAGAGAAATAAATACATTAATGGTCAAAGTTGTCATGTGCAAACATGAAAAGTGAAATGTTGCACTTATTTAAGAATGAGGTAATTTATTTTAGTGGACCCTTAAAAAAGGTTGCCTATTAGTTGTGGCTCTTGGAGATTAAAAACTGCAATAGTGAGGCTAAGCATATTCGTATCAGTGTATGATGTAGATCAATTTTATTTTAAAAAATTATCTTAAATAAGATTGTTCATGAATTTCAAAGTAAGAGTATTAGATTTTGATGCTTTAAATAGAAATGATTACAGTCATGTTTTGGCATTATCGGGTTTAAATATGAAAATATCTTTCAAATTAAACTTGATAGTAATTACGAGATTTTTTCAAATATAATGCTAAATAAAAATTTATTTACAAAATTATGGTGAGGTTAAAACTACTTACCAAAATACTGCTAGAATAAACTCTAGTTAACCAAAGCCGTCAATCCGTTTGGCCACCTTCGGTTAACCTCATTACTCACGCATGAAGCAAGCAACAAATCGGATCAGGAGCCTCTGCCTTGTTTCAACGCAAGGTAGAGTGCCTTGCTTCAGGACAACCGTCTGATCGACAATTCAATGGCCGTAGATCTTGGGGTCTATCCTTTCTTTTATCTCGAAGCCGTCCTTGCCGTTGCTCGACCGTCGGATGCGCAAGGACCCTCCTAGTCGGGTAGAGGATCCCAATCCCAACAAATCAGGCCACCAATATGAAATCACCAACTTAAAAAAATCCTCTTTTGTAAAATGGTTATAACTTTTATATTTATAATCTAATTGTTATAAAAAAATCTATCAAAATTCATAATTTTTTATTATCTTTCATTTGACACCAATATTCAATATATAAAAATACAAACAATTCTGAAGATACAATGAGTAGAGGTTTTGTAGGCTACAAACTTTTTTAAGTCGTAGATCTATGTTTACGGTTTTGATCTCATAATTTTTTAGAGTCCGTTTAGAAACGCTGAAATTGACTGAATCGGTTGATTCTACTTAAATTTATGAAATTCTGTTTGAAGTGAGTGGATTGACTGATACTACTGATTTACGAAAAAAATTATAATCAAAATATTTCTTATTAATAAAATAAAGAAAAAGTTAAATGAAAGAATAGTTATTATCTTTCATATGACACAAATATTATATTTTTTGAATGGTTACAAATTTTTTATTTATAATTTGATTTTTATAAAAAGTATAACAAAGTTCATATTTTTTTTATCTTTCATATGACACCAATATTGAATATATAAAAATATTAATAAATCTGAAAATACAATGAATGGAAGTTTTTAGTCTCAATTTTTTTTAAAAAAAAATTGTGCTCTAAAATTAGGATCTCATAATTAAATATCTCAATTTCATGTTGTAATTAGGGAATTTTATTAATTGATACTAAGATATCGTTTGGTGATCCTGTTTTTAGCTTATCAACTAACGTTTCCACCAAACACCTAATTTTTTATTTCACACGCAGAATTGTGAAATAATAAGATAATGTAAGGATGAAGTTACTTTTATGACTATATTAGCTGAAGTTGTTGTAGAAAATCTTTTTAACTATTTCTTCATATAAATTTTATATCTTATTAATAAAAAATATTTCAAATATAATTTTTTCATAAATAAATAGAACCAGCCAATTCAGTTACTTCAACCACAATTTCATAAATTTTAGCAGAATCAATAGATTTAATCAATTTCAGCGTTACCAAACGGGCTCTTAAAATTTATAAGTTCTTAATTTTAGAACATATATCTACTTACAAAAGTTTGCAGTCTAAAAAACTTCTATTCATCTCTAATCTTCGGAATTATTTATATTTTTATACATTTAATATTGATGTCATATAAAAGATAATAAAAATTTATGAATTTTGATATATTTTTTGAAAAAATATAAGTTATAACAATTTTTTAAAACGAAAGATTTTAAAGTGTAGATCCATTTCCTATTGGCTAGTGCACCAGCACACTTATTGCTTGCTTCCTGCGCGACTAACGACTTAAGCAAAAGTGGTCAAACCATTTGTCGATTTTGTTTAACCGGTATCTATTCCGGCATAATTTTGGTAAATAGTTTTAACCGGTATTACTTTCATAAGTAATTTTTTATTTAGTATTATTTTAGAAAAAAACTCAGTAATTTCTCATCTATGGAGAGTAAAAATATAATACCCATATTTGAATTTCAAAACGTTTTCACTTCTAATTCGAGAACTTTTCCTTTTAATTTTCAATTACAACTTGTTAGCGTAAACCCTCATTTGAATGTTCACGTGTAAATGGTATAGACTAAATAAGGATGCATTTAATTGATATTAAAAAGGATGCATTTAATCGGATGGAAACTTTCCTTTTAATATCGTCTATTTTATTTAGGTAGATTCTATGGTACCCAAAATACTGTTGGGTTAACCGTTGTTACGAAAAGCCGCCACTTGAAGTGGCGGCTCTTCTCTTATAATACAAAAGTCGACACTCCAAGTGGTGGCTCTTCTCTTACGGCCCATTTTGTACATATATAAAATGCAGTATGTTTCAAGAATTTGTTTAACTGCCTTCCCGATTGAATTTTGAGCTCAACATTGGTATGCATAAACAAGACTTGATGAGGAACATGCTCAAAAAAATTCATCAAAAAATTCCACCGGAAACACCCTCTGATGGTGTTGTCCGCGGGGGGTTCCGGTCAGCACGTCATGACAAAAGGGTGGTCCGGCCACCTCAATTTGAGGTGGTTCCCGGTGGTATGTTTTGATGAACTTTTGTAGGTATGTTCCTCATAAAGTCTAGTTCATTCATATCAAATTTAAGAAAAACATTCAATCCGAAATGCCGTTAAATGATTTTTGAAAGATAACTACGCTAGATTATACATATAAAACACAGTTATCTTTATAAAATCATTTGACTGCTTTCCCGATTGAAATTAGTTCTGAAATTTGGTATGGATTAACTAGATTAGATGAATAACATACACACAAGAATTCAGCAAAACATCCCACCGGGAACCACTTCAAATTGAGGTGGCCGGAGCACCCTTTTGTCATGACGTCCTGACTGGAACCCCCCGCGGACAACACCATCAGAGGGTGTTTCCGGTGGAATTTTTAGATGAAATTGTTTGAGCATGTTCCTCATCAAGTCTAGTTTATGCATACCAAATTTCAGCTCAAAATTCAATCGGGAAGGCAGTTAAACAAATTCTTGAAACATACTGCGTTTTATATATGTACAAAATGGGTCGTAAGAGAAAAGCTGTCACTTGGGGTGGTGGCTTTTGTACTATAAGAGAAGAGCCTCCATTTCAAGTGGCGGCTTTTCTTAACCACGGTTAACCTGACAGTATTTTGGTAATTATTGTAAACCCAACGGTATTTTGGGAATTATTTATTTAATTAGCATTATCCCGGGAAAAAAGTGCTAGATCCTTGGGTTAGTTAAGACCTTAAAATAAATTCTTAACATACACATCATAAAAGAAAAAGTTATGCCTTGTTGTTATATACTAGTACAAGATAAGGATATGTATACTTTCATCAAAAGCATTAGAAGAATTAAGAAATCTAGGACTAGCTTATTAGGTGCCTTTAGGGTGTAAAATTAAGTATTTCGTACTATAAATACTATACATATACGTAGTCGTGTCATTTTATTCCTTGTGAAAAAATCTTTAGACCGATCGAACTGGTCGAGGGCCAATAGAAGCAAAAGATTTGATAGGGAAATGATAGAAGGAAGGGATCCGCCAATTTATGTTTCTAATCCAATATATGAGAATGTGTGTGGAGCAGGTGCGGATACACTGATTATTTATTTACCAGGTAATTCAACATTTTTCGTTTTGATAAAAACCATGTACCGTATATATGTCGTATATATGAGAATTGAGAAAGATTGATTAAATTAAGGTGACAACTCCGGTACCCATTTAAAAAAATGGGGTACCATACCTATCATTCATTTGATTGGTCCAAATACGTATATTATTTTTAATTTAGAATTAAATAATTCAACTGCAACACATTCATTGGTCCATGTGGACAAAGGTATGATACCTTATGGGTACCATAGAATCTACCTTAAATTAAAACATACGAAGTATATATATACCATGCATGCACGTTGTTTCAACCTTCACGTAAGACTTTATTACTCATTTACTCTTGAACAAGGGTTTACTAAAACAATCATAAATTTCTAATATATGAATAAAGGCATCCTCATTAGGAGGATTATTATGAGATTAAATTAGTGACATGACAGTTTTTTTAGAGAATTATCAAGTTTATCCCTGCAATGTCAACCACAATGTCTACATCTAGACATTGTGCAGTTGTGCTTGACATTGTGAAGAATAAGGAGAGAGATATTCTATTTATTGTTTTTTCATTGGCTATCTCTCATACCACGTATGCACCGTTACCGTTTTAGCATTGAAGATGCTCTTAAGAATCATCATATCTTTTGGTTATATTCCTAGTCATTTTCTCTTACTCATAACTCTTCAATTGTAGATTTAGTCTCATAAGTGTTTCATATACATGTCAACAATTGTTATATGCTCTTTGACAGAATATTTTTCAAAGATAGTGTAATGGTCGTATCAACCATTGTCATATGTGCTATGACAATTATTGGCATGCGTGTATATGAAAATTTTATGAAAAGTTTAAAAAGAAGAATTTTTTAAGAGCATACAAAGTGCCACATAATCGTGTCATGTCTTTATATATAAAAATTATTTACTTATTTTTATACCTTTTGTTTTTATTAGATTCTATTTTTGATTGCATATTGATATGGAAACAAAAATCCTTATAAATCCACCTTAATTAATTTGGCAAGCTTCAAATAAGTAAAATAATTTTTGGTTATCAAAGTGAAATTCTAATAATGTTTATTGATATGGAAACTAATTTATATTAGTTTACTACACTGAATTAAATAAAAACAAATATGCAAATTAGTTTACTTATTAATTTGACACCTATTAATAAATTAGTAAGCTTCAAATAAGTAAACAATTAAAAATGAAATTAAAAATTATAACCAACATAAAGTATATATATTTTCACAAGTAAATATGTTTAGCTTAGTCAAATAATTAAGTAAATTGTTTTGGTTGTTTCTTTATTCCACACCTAAAATTCAAGTATGCCTTCACTTTTGAAATAGATTCCTAATGCAAATTAGAAAATCTTTATAGGTTTACGAATTCCTACTTTTATTTTAATAGAATGTTTTTAATTGGATTGATTTCAGTTCCAGATTAAATCAAATCAGATCAAACTTTAATAATTATAACAATAAGTCACATAAAAAACAGACATCTAATAGACCATATTAATTCATACCAAATCAAACCCGAAATTTTAATTCAATTAAAAACGTTCTTATTAATGAGTAAACTGTAAGATCTAACAATTAAGAAATATAGATAGATTTTTTTTATTATTGGGTTCATAACAATTATGTTTACTTAAGATGCTTATGTAGAAGACCAATTTAACTTTTTTTCATATATTTTTTTCTTTGTCTCACAAATGGAATATATTTCATATATATTTTTCATGATTCAGAAGATTCCACCTATTTAACCAGAATTCAATCAATTTCAGCAAAATAAGTTAATTCTATTTACTTTAGTATTATCAAACAAACTCTATATACGGAATATTAGACTAAGTTTATTTTTCTTTTAAATCACATTATATGTGATCCGATAGAAATTAAATTTCAAATTAGTTAAATTACATACTGCCCGTACATCGCACGGGCTTGAAAGTTAGTAATATGAATAACAAAAAGGTGACAACTCCGGTACTCATTTAAAAAATGGGGTACCGTACCTATAACTCACTTGATTGGTTCAAATCATTACATCATTATTAATTTAAATTTAAATAATTCAACTACATCATTCTGATTGGTCTATGTGGACAAAGGTATGGTACCTTAAGGGTACCATAGAATCTACCTAACAAAAATTAGTACTCTCTATATTTTAAAGTTTACTACACTTTCCCTTTTTAGAAGTGTTTAAAAGTTTGGTACATTTTCCCCTTTTAGTAACTTTTTCCTGTTAAAATGTTCAATTATACCTGCATTTTCTACGTACTTTTTATCTTGTCTTTCATATTTTTTCAATATCTTTCTTGCTTTGATTACACTATTCATTACCTACCGTAACTATTTTCTCCTTCAATAATGTGTCACCACCTATTGTAACAATCTTTAAAATATGGAGAGAGTATATAAAAAGTATAAAATTAATAGAGAAACATTAAAATTATGAAATAGAAGATGAAAAATAGAAAAATTAATTTAGTCAGTGTGCTTTGACTCAGTATGAAACTCATGGTCTTCAATGTATATCATCATACTTCCAACTTTGTTTTAGTACTCGATTGTGTCTCATCAATATTGTCGGAAAACACCATGCACCACAGTTTATCTTTTTGAGAATTGACTTTGTAAGTTTTATCTTTTGACTTTGTAAGTTTATTCATGAATATAATATAGCAAATAAAAAAGAACTCGGAGCAATCCTTGATGCGCTCTAATAGTAATAGGAAATAATGCAGTCCTCCCCACACTAGTACGAACACTTGTTGTACAATTCTCACACATATTCACGTGAAAAACTTGTCGAAATAAGATAATGTTGCAAGTAATAATGAATTTACAAAAACAAAATACTACCTATATTGCAATCAAATAACTAACAAGGGGATGATACCTCTTAACAAAAGGTAGGTATGACAAGCCATTTAGGAAAAATACAATTGCACACAAATACATCGCACTTACACACTTTTCACACGCAATTTACATTACTTTGTAAAACTATTTACACCAAACAAATAATTTTTGTATCACTAAACAATACTCCGTATTTCACTTCCAAAGAGTATGCACACTTACTTTTTACTTGTAATTCATATTACTTGAAAATTATTTACACAAAACACATAAATTTAATTTTGTCCCAATAAACAATACTACGCTTTCAAATTAATCGCATGTTTTTACAACATTCATAATATCAATTACAATGTAATCTCTCACATACGCACTAACATAAACTATTCATATTATACGTGTCTACACTATTTATATCATTTACAAAAAACTAACATCAATTACACTAACTATTTTTTAAACCGGATTCCAGAAAACATAATCTCATTTACACATCATCTTCTACCGTAGCATGATATAATAATTACATGCTTGCAGGATTGAATAAGGAACATATAAAGCTTCAATTGACCCAAAAAGGAAACATGAGGATCCAAGTCGATCCTCACCATAACAAGAAATGGATCAGCTTACAAAAAGAGTTCACTCTTCCATTAGAGATTGCGACACTAAGAATATTAAAGCAAAGCTTGGAGTTGACATTCTCTACATCATACAACCAACCACTGCCGAGGAGGAGGAGGAGGAGGAGGAGGAGGAGGAGATAAAAAGTGGAATTAGTGTGGCAACAAAGCTGGTGGTGAGATCTACTAAAACACTCTGTAATGTGACACTCATAGCTCTAGTGATAGTTGGTATTGGCTTGTATGTTAATACCATGATCAGATCTTTTAAGGAAGCTAATTAAGAGTGAATAATAGTCAGATCATAATAATGATGATTATGATACAAATGTTTTTATTTTTTCGTTTGATCATTGTTATTGTTGTAGCTTTACTAACTTCAAAATCGTATCCAATAACTAGTAATTTTTTTATACAAAGGACATTTTCACCAAAATATATTATTTTCCATCAAATGAAAAAGTCTTCCGAAAAACGTGTTGCCCACATATATGATTTTCAGGCACAAGTAATTTAATACAAATGTATGGAGAGATCTTTAATATAATACTCCGTATATATGATCAAATTTTCTAGTCAAGTACTACGTAATAAATTTACATGCCTAATAATGTCACTAGACTAAATCAAAAAAAATCCTTAGTAACAATAATAATAATAATATTGGAGCAAAAAATAATAATAAAATATCACATTGATCACACACAAAGACACACACAAATTTGGGGATCGATAGATATACAATGGATCATAGATCTTACATGCATCGTTATAGTGTCAGATATACCTGAACCCAGCATTCCAGCCCAGCTGATTGTGAGGTTACCGTGTTTAGTGAGAGGTCTCGAGTTTGAAACCTGCTAGGCACATAAGGGTTGAAACTCAATGGAGTGAGTTTCAGCCCTGATTACTCCTGACCTCCCAGCCTCCTCCCTCAGACCCCTGGAGTAAAAAAAAAGAGTGTCAGATGTACCTGACCGGAAGATAACTCAATGTGTGTGTAAATTAATAATAACATTATTAATAATACATAGTAATCTTTATCGAATTTACGTTATAGTAATAACAATAACAATATAAACTCAGATTCTAAAGACTTAGATATAATATCGGAAACATCCATGCATATTAGATTAGAAACGTTCCACTCAAACTAGACATTTAAAAGTTTAACTCGGAAACATTTACATAAGACAAATATAATAGTTTTATATTACCTCCATTCCGCTAAGATTGTCTCATCTTTCATTTTTGTCTGTCCAACTGAGACTGTCCAATACCAAATTTCATAACGTTTGTGTTGTTCAAAATCATTTTACTTTATTTATCACTTTATCAATTCAGTATCAACTACATAAACTTACTTTTCGTGGTAACCCACCTCCTCCTCATGTATCAATGTTATGGGGACGGAGATATTAATTAATAACTAGAGATAGTAATTAATACTCTAATAACTACACAGGTGTGCCAGTAAGATCAGATGGTATTATCTTATGTAATTGGATCACCCTGCAGAAGTGATGTTGGGAATATTTTATGGTGTCCAATCTATTTAAATATCTTTGTATTTGAGTATTAATTATTTATATTAAATCGGCAAGAAAAGAATATGGGACCAAAGTTGTCAAACCCATATTCCTGGCATAAAGCTTGTACGCAAACCTGTCTTCGCCTATATATATGCGCATAAGGCTTAGGTTTGCGTTAACTTTTGCTGCATTAACTTTGGCATTCGACCTTTAGAGCTTCAACGCTAACATTATTCTGTAAAGGTTTCCACGGTATACCAGAGAGGGTTTCAACGATCATCATATTGTCATATTATTCTGTGATTCTCTCTTTGTTATATTGTTATATTGCTGTTAGATCATAATCTCTGTAATAGGGACGAACAACTGGTATCAGAGCCGAGCGTGAAATCGATTGAAGAAATTCTGCAAAATTAGAACTTGGTATTGACGTGAGATGATTTTTTTTTTCGAAACTCAAACTTTCTGTTTTTTTTTGGCTTGATCAACATGGTTTGGACGTTTTTCTGCAATCGCTGAATGTTTTGGATCAACATTTGAGATAAAGAAGGCTGAAATTCCGTTTTTAGGATTTTTGAGATTTTGATGTTTTAAGGTTTTTCACAGGTTCTGCGAAGAAGACAGGGTTTTCGAAGTTTTAGAAATCTCGACATTTCAGCAATCTCGATATTTCAACAATCTCGATATTTCAACAATCTCGATATTTCAACAATCTCGACATTTCAACAATCTCGATATTTCAGAAATCTCGACATTTCAGAAATCTCGACATTTCACCAATCTCGACATTTCAACAATCTCAATATTTCAGAAATCTCGATATTTTAGAAATCTCGACATTTCAGGATCTCGACATCAAGATCTCGACATCAGGATCTCGACATCAGGATCTCGAAAAATCTCTCATAGTTCAAATTTCGAGATTTTCAGCAACATCGCACTATTTTGGCCATAACTTTTGACTCGGTGATCGATTTAAGCGAATGATACCTTGTTGGAAAGCTAACGAAAAGATCTACATGAATTTCCGGGTTTACCCCAGAACTCCCAACCACGTGCCCTCACTCGCCGTTCTTGAGGGAGATATCATCAGCTTTCCGAGAAACATTGTCAATCACAGATGTCAAGGTCAAAACTTAGGCAAATCTGATCAAATTCTTCCAAAGCCAAACCAAAGGTCAAACCTGGTCTAAGCTACATATCAAGGTCCAGAAAATTGCAGAAACTTCAATCAACCTCATGTCTACGGTCAACATTCAACAATCAACAGCAATTGACGTCTCATCTCCTTGCACCTGTACTTGTCAAATTCATAACAAGGATGATGTTATTAAGGAACTAAAAGAGAGACTAGACAATAATTACAAGGTCTTAGTTCACTGTCAAGATCAGAAAACCTCATTTAGCACTCAATTGGAAAATGAGAAGGAGAACGTTAAAAGGATGACACTTGAAATGGAAGAGCTAACGCTCAAGGTAGCTGATCTGACTTTTGCATTGCAAGAAACTGAGGCAGAACGAAACACATCAAAGGCAGATAGAGACTTTATTCTCAATCAGAGGAATTCCTTTTACAACAAAATCAAAGAGCTTGAGGACTTGATTGCAAAAAGGCAACAATCTAAGCAAACCATTTTCTTAAACCAACAAAAGGACACTCGCTTCTATAATTCCAAAGCTCGACTCGATCTAAAGAATCCATGTAATCTGGAGAAAATAGATTGTATTCAACTTTATGACTTCAATTACATGAATCTTGGATTGATTGAGAAGATGGTCTATTTTAGTGAAGATGAGACAGCTGCGGAAGAAGACAAGAAAAGAGCTAATCCTGCAGCTGAAGTTCCTTTTGGTTATGATGCTTTGAACGAGAGTTATGACTCGAAAGAGCCTCCGGTGACTCCTGCAGAAGATTTTCCTACCTTTTATCCTGAAAAGAAGACTGTGTAAGATACAGAGGAACCTTCAACTTCAAAGCCTGTAGTCAAACGAGCAAACATGTCACCTCTCATGAGAGTTTGTTGAGTTAACAGAGACTTTTGATAAAGAAAAACGGGTTTTGAACTGGAAAGAGAACAACTCTTGAAAGAAATATCTTTGCTCCGAACATCCTCTCAATCTTGCACAGGGTCACAATCTCCTTCTCCCCCATCCCTTGAAAAATGTATTGAAAAATCAATCGATGATCTTAAATCATCTACCACGCACTCTGAATCTCCTTCTCCGACAAAGGCCCTTGTGAAGAGGAGAGTGGAAAGGAGAGGAGAATGGATATAGAGGAGAAGTTAAGAAGAAGAAAGAAGGAGGAAGAATATCATCTAAGGAATAGGAGCCGATGTTCGAGTGCTATGTACTATGCTAAAAGGAAGACATCTTTCAAGAACCACTACTGTTTGATAGAGTATATCTAGAGAGAAGTGAGAGCTAGAGAGAGAAGTGCAATAATATGCTTCAATAGAATGATTTCGTAACCCCTATAACTACTCCCAAGGGGAGTATTTATAGAGAAAATTAGGGTTGGGCTCCCAAGCCTTGGGCTTGGGAGGCCCATTTACAACTGGACCGCTACTGGGCCGAATACAAAGCCTCTAATGGGCTGTACAAATGAGTAAGTATAGAATCCGATTCTGGGAGGTCTTCGTGGCCGACGAGGGCGTGGCCGACGAGGGCACGGTCGACGAGGGCACGGCCGACGAGGGCACCCGAGTTCCTCGGGCTCAGGACCGTAATCTGAGTTGGCCCCTTTTCGGCCGACGGGGGCGTCTTGGCCGACGAGGGCACCACTCTGTTGTCTTGTGCTTTCTGTTCTTCCGAGTATGTGGGTCCTGGGGCTCAGACCCATATACTCCATCAGGAGTCCCCCACTCTCTAAGCTGAGATGTAGGCGAAGCGAAGGAGAGTAGATCCCTGTGCTTTGTTGCCCTTGGCCGATGCGGGCATCCCCGGGCCGTTAGCCGTTGCGGTGTTGGCGTTGTTTCCTCTTGGGTGATCCTATTCTGTGCTTTGGCCGTTACCTGTCCTTCGCTGTGGGCGGGGAGGCCGTTGTTTCCTTAATGTGTTTGAGGATGATGACTGTCTTGTTTCAATGTCGGCCGTTGAAGACGCGCTTTCCCTTTCTAGACGTTGGTGGTTGAAGTTTATGTTTGGGCCGGTGAGGCCGTTGAGGTTGTTCCTTGCTTTGAGGACGATGGCGTCCTTTCCATTGGGTGGCCGATGAGGGCGCTCGCGCACTCCTTTTGGCCGTCGCTGGTTGGCCTTCTTGTTCTTGGCCGAAGGGCCCGTCAAGATTGATTATTGGCGGAGGACGATAAGTGTCCTTGTCTCTAGTGGCTTGTTGGCCGTTGCTAATGACGTTATGGGCCTTTGGCCGATGAGGTTCCGTTGTGCTGTGTGGATGATATGGCCATGTTTTGTGGTTACCTTCATGTTCTTTGCATTGTTGCTGTTTGTTTCGTTGAGGCCGATGTAGTCCCCCAGTCCCCCACTGCTTCAGGCCGAAGAGTGTGAGGGGTGAAGGAGTTGCTTGAGTCCCTGGCCGAAGCGGCCTTTCCGTAGTCCCCCTGAATCCAACTCTCAT